AAGAGACTGAAGAAACAATTCTGAACAAAAATGTATTCTCCCTTAGGGAGGTTCTTTCAGCACCAAGCCAAATTACTTTTTTAATGGGGGGGTTAGCCCTCCAGGGAAGCCATAAATATGTCCATAGTGAGTGGTAGTGGGTTAAATATTCCCAACTGCCCTATTACAGTAATCCAGTAAAGAAAACAGTAGACAGTTCTCCCTAGTAAAAATACTAGCAGGTGTTTTCTAGCAATATAAGTGATACTGCACAGTTTATTCTTTAATATCTAGTTTATGAAAATTTAGTATCTTGGTGGTTGAACCTAGCCACTTCTGTTCTTTGAGTCATCGCTGGTGTAGACACTTTAGGTGCCTCTTGATAATTTCTTATGAATAATGGAATGGTTTGAGTTGGAAAGAATCTTAAAGACCATTTGTTGCAATCCCTTTGCTGAGGTCAGGCACGTGTTTCACTAGACCAGATTATAAATGCTATGCAGCACTTGGCCTTGAACAGTTTCAGGGATGGGGTACCCACAACTTCCTTGGGCAACCTGATGCAGTGCCTCACTGCCCTCTGAGTAACACTGCCCTCTTCTTGACATCTAATCTAAATTTCTCCTCGTTAATTTAAAATTGTTCTTCCTTGTCCTATGGCTGTCCACGTGAAAACTTGCTCTCCCTCTTCTAAATAAGACCCCTTTAGGTACTGGAAAGCTGCTGTTCAGCATCTTTCTGTTCTCCAAGCTTAACAACCCCAGCTTTCTCAGCCTGTCCTCAGAGGAGAAGCCCTTTTATCATCTTCATAATCAAAGGCACTGCTCTGGACTCAACCAGCAGGTCCCTGTCCCTCCTGTGCTGGGAGCCCAGCTCTGGATGCAGTGCTCCAAGTGGGTCTCAGCAGAGCAGAGCAGGGGGCAGAATCCCCTCCCTGCCCTGCTGCCCACGGGGCTCTGGATGCAGCCCAGGACACGTTTGGCTCTCTGGGCTGGCAGTGCCATGGCCGGGGCATGTGCAGCCTCTCACCCACAGCTCCCCCAAGCCCTTCTGGGCAGGGCTGCTCTGGGGCTGCTCATGCCCAGCCTGGGCTGGTACCAGGGGTTGTTCCTACCCCGGTGCAGCACCAGCACTTGGCCTTGTTAAACCTCATCAGATTCTCATGGGTTACTTCTCAAACTTGTCCAGGTCCCTCTGGATGGCATCCCATCCTTCAGGTCTCCTGCCCTGTTCTGCAGTGGACCAGCTTTCTCTGTGCTTTTTTTTGTTGTTGATATATCAGCAGAAGCTGTCTGTTGCCTTTCCCATCCCTTGCAGGTTTTCCTTCCCAGCTGTGCCCTTTCTATCTCCCTCTGTGCCTTTGTCCTCTGTTTCTCCCTGGGAACCTGTCCTTGCTGAAACCTTCTGTAGTGATTTTTTAAGTTTGATGCCACCTCAGACAAACTTGCCTCCTGCCTTACCTCCTTGCTTCTTCACACTCTATTCATGTGCTTTAGAGAAGTTGCTTTTCAAGTTCAGCCCTTTCTGCTGAGTCTCTTGGTATTTAAGGTAATTGAGTTCTTCCAGGCTACCACTTACCAATTTCCTGAACAAGCCAAGACAGTTGCTCTGAAATCCAGGATCTTTATTCTGCTTTTTGCCATCATTGCTTTCCTGAGTATTTCAAATTCTTATTTCTCCTCGTAGTCACTCAGTCTAAGGCGGTCATCAGCCTTTAGGTCCCTATCAATTTCTTCCTTAATTCATACAACATCCAGCAGTGCAACTTCATTACTTAAAGGAGTACCTGCAGAAAAAAATAAGTCTCTGATGCTCTCTGAATTTCCTGCACTCTGCTGTTCTGCTCTGCCAGCAAATGTCTCAAAATTCCTCCATGAAAACATGCAATTATGAAGTTTCTTCCAGTTGTTTAAAGGCTACATCCACTTTCTCTTCTTGACTGGGCAGTGTATAGTATGTGCACACCATGCTAACCCCTTGTTTGCTACCCCCATCATGCTGCTCCATGAGCCTTCATCCTTGACTTCTTGGATATGCTGGGTTGTTGAAATAGTGGGAAAACAGTGTGCAATATTTTAAGAAAATTTTAGACACCAAGTACACTGGTGGAAAAATATGTTTGCACACAAGAGGAATATCATCTTTTGCTCCTTGAATGACTTTGGATGAGTAATTTCCCCTCTTTGCTTCTCCAGGTCTCAGACTGTGAAATCTCTGTGGTACAGACCTACCATAAGATAGATGATGTGCAAGCACTGCCACCTTCCAAAGATTGCAGGCATCATTGCATTTGTGTTCCTAAATGTGACTTGCATCCTCTCTTCATGAAGGCTGAAGTTTGGTGATACAGAGAACCTGCAAGAACACTTTCTTGTGAAAGTGAAAATGTAGGAGGGGAATGTCCCTATGCACAAAAGAGATTTGGAAGGAAACATAGTTGCCAAAACCATGTTTGTACAGGATTCCCTCATTACCAAGAATATAGTGATTTTGGGCATGACAGTGGAAAAGATCATATCCTAATTTGCTCTGCTAAGTGTAAGGATTTTGAATTTCTGTGAGTTATACAAGTAAGCTGTCTGAGACAACAGGGAAGGATTAAGGCAAAAGGAAATGTAGATGAGTGCATGATGAAAATTAATATTAAATTGATCTGTTCAAAGTAGTTATACATATAGAAAGACAAAATATTTACTGTATTTTTTGTTCAGGAGGAATGTTTACATACTTTTGAACAGCTGACCTCTGATTCATTTTGCATCAACCAAGTTAAGCCTTATTTCCTTTTTGTATTCTGCTGTAGGGCTTCCTTGTTTGGGTTACAAAACATGAAAATTCTCAGAGCACTGTGCAGTTTTCTCATTACTGTCCACATAGGAATACCTATTTTTAGGCTCAAATATGTGCATAAAGACTTTAATGAGGAAAAAATATTTTTCTGCCCTGTCCTACTTGCAGTGTCCAGGTATTTCTAACTGTGGTGTACTCATGCGCGCGCACACACACACACACACACATTTCTCTGTGTTTTTCATTACCAGTAGCTAAAAACTACCTGTTGACAGGTTGTTCACATTAGTTTTCTGCTGTGAGAATTGTGCTGCCTTTCTTGACTGAAGCAGTTTTAAAAAGTATTTCAAACCAATATGTGCCTACTGGCAATGCTGGGGTCTAGTTTAGCTACTGCCTTTTCTGCAGCTTCAGGTTGCCCATGTCTGCAGATCAGAAGATAAAAGACAAATGGTTTAATTAGTCTTAATACCATTTTGAGCCTAATGCTCTAACCAATTGATCAGGTTTACACAGGTACTTCATCTGGCATAAAACCCTACATAAATAAAATGTGCTTCAATGGACAAAGCTGGGGGTTGCAAAATCCATCGCTCCTAATATCAGTAGCTGTGTCTTGTTTTAAACAAGACTGGATTTGCTTTGATTTCTAGATTAGTGTAGGTTACACTGAGCAGAAAATTTAATGCATCTCATTGATTTTCCCTATAATACTGTTGATACACAGGTCACTGCTCTAATAATTTGTTTTACCATTAGAATTCTGTATGCAGATCTAGTCCCCAAGGATATCAGTGTGTAACCAGATACTGTGTGATCTAATCAGGTACTGCAAGAAATATATTATCTCTTCAACACCTAGCAGTAGAAAGCTTTATCAAAATGGAAAAATTATTTAATATTTAAAGCAAAATGCAGTTCAGTGAGACAACCATGAGAAGCAGGTGTGCACAACATTTAAAGACATTTCTCAGATTAAACAAAGCCAAATCCAAGCCAGAGTCTAGGACAACTTGTCATAACTCCATTTGTTATTAAAGATGAAAATGTTATAGCTGCTTCTTCAGTTTATACGGTTTATTGCAGTTCAGGTGAGGTAGCATCATTCTCAGAAATGACTGACTAGCAAAATTTAATTAATGTGATAGTTACTTGCTACAGCATGCGTGGTTTGGAAAGCGATTTTGAAAAGCACCTGCAAAAGCATTGGTGACAGACAAGACCAGTGCTCTGAACTCATTTTGATGTAGGATTTGGATCTCTGAGCACCTAGTACTGCAATTCATTTCCAGAATACAAGTCCTGCTGACTTTGAAGGAGTTTTGCAAGCAGTGTGTCTCAGGCTGAGCAGCAGATCTGCTTGCTGCTGCGAGTCTGACCAGAACCATCTACAGCTGGAATGGCCGGAGTGTGGCTCTGACAGCAGCTGGACAGTGTTTCTGTGTAAACTGCCAGGTGCAAACACCAGGTGTTCAGCAGGGTAATGGTTGACAAAGGTGATAAGCATCTCCTAGGGTCAGCTTATCTCTCCATATAACTGCTTTCTTGTCGATGTCTGAATGCTGAGCACTCTTAATTGTGGCTTTTGTTGGAGTTTCTGAATTTTATCACTGGAATGCAATGCTATTGTTGGTTCTACCTCTTGTACTTATTTAGCAAAGGAAAGTAAAGAATTTTTAGAAGCAAATTTTAGAAGGAAAACTTTCAGTAACCGTGTGTATGCCAAATGAGACTTGATTCAAGATAGAAAATAAGATATTTATGTTCCTTTACATTTTTCCAACTTCTATTATATCTGTCTATAAAGGTGTGTGTGGAATGATATTGGTTTGTTTTGGTTTTTTCCTTTGGTTCTACAGACTAAGCAGTGCACAGTTCATTGTTCAGGGCCAAACTCTTCTCCTTGGCTCAAGAGATTAATTGTGGGACTAGCTTTACTACCAGAATTGCTTTGATCTTCAGAGACCACTGGGTTCATTAAGCCTAAAGGCATAAGTAGGAGCTGGAAGAGAGTGACTGAGCATACAGACAAGCAGTGAAACAGACTTTCTTTCAAGTTCCTACAATGTGTTGTTGGGGCAAGTGCTGCCAGACAAATGTACTGTTGTTGAGGGAAAGGGCAGGGGAGGTGGTTGCTGGGTTTTGGTACAGGTCAGAAAATTCTTTTCATTGAGAAAAACCCACTAAGGGCTTTTAATATATTTTTTATATTTTTCTCTCTTGTGTTTTAGGGTCTCATGACTCTTTTAGCTTCTACATTGATGAAGCCTCTCCAGTTGGGCCTGAACAGCCAGAGACGGTCCAGAATTTTGTGTCAGTTTTTGGGACTGTGGCTAAAAAGCTGATGAGGAAGTGGCTGGCTACACAGACCATGAACTTCACCAGCCAGCTGGGGGCAGGTATACGGTATTTTGATCTTAGAATTTCCACCAAGCCCAGAGACCCAGACAATGAACTATACTTCGCTCATGGTTTATTCAGTGCCAAAGTCAAGGAAGGTCTGGAGGAGATCAACGCGTTTCTCACTGAGCACCCAAAAGAAGTGGTCTTCTTGGACTTCAATCATTTCTATGGGATGCAGAAATGCCATCATGAAAAGCTTGTCCAGATGCTCAAAGACACATACGGAAACAAAATGTGTCCTGCTATATTTGCCCATGAAGTCAGCCTCCAGTACCTGTGGGAAAAGGAGCACCAAGTGCTAGTGTTCTACCACAGTCCAGTGGCTGTCGAGGTAGCTTTTCTGTGGCCAGGCCAGATGATGCCAGCACCCTGGGCAAACACAACAGATACAGAAAAGCTGATTCAGTTCCTGCAGGCATCAATCACTGAGAAAAGAAAGAAAGGCTCCTTTTTCATATCCCAAGTAGTGCTGACACCAAAGGCTAGTACGGTGGTGAAAGGAGTTGCAAGTGGTCTCAGAGAAACGATCACAGAAAGGTGAGTTTGTGGCTGGTAACCTGTGCTGACTGTGGTGGATGTGTGTTGGTAGTTTATCCAATTGCTTTTAAAGGCACTCGAGCAGATGCATTTCTTCCATGCTACTGTGGACTACTCAGAACATGGCATAATCCTAAAATATTTAAAGAGAAACACATTGAAGGACAAGCTTTTGCATCTTGAAAGAAAATCTGCCACTGAAGTATAATGAGGTATTAGAGGATTGGCTTAACCTTCTCTTTTTTCTGAATGCAGGTTTTACTAATTTGCTTTGTTTTCCAAATGTGGTTTCTTACCATAAACACTGAATATCATGTCTAGGATTTCCTTACTGGAAAATCTTATCTGTATTATCTAGACAAATCTATCTGTATGATCTAGATAATTTTTTGTGCATCAGGCTTCAGATTTGATTAAAAAAAAAATTGTCCTGGTTCATCAGCAAAGCCTGATGCTGCAGAATTTGCTGTCATATACCTCAAAATGCATGATTTCTCTGTCTCTATACCATCACATACTGTATCAAAGACAGCAGGACACCATTAGAGAGAATTTGACTCCTTTAAGTCTTTCTTCATTTACCATACAGGAAAGAGATGGCAGACCATCGTACATGGAATAGCTTCTGTACATGGAATAGCTTGTTGACAGGCCATTAGTTGTTATATTACAAAAAAAGGCAGCTGTGCAAGACATGCATTATTTATACCATTCTGACTTTGATAAATCACAGCCAGTTTTGAGCTTAAAGGCATATATATGGGACTATGTTCTTGACAACCTGGTAGGAAAACTGAAATTTAATGCCAAGACACAAGAGACACAAGATTTTTCTCCTTAAAAATAAAGAACAGTTTCAGAATGTAAAAAAAAAATTACAATGAGGGTCAGTGGCCTGCTGATGTTTTGCTCTCTGCATGGATGTTCCTGTGACAGGAAGGTCTGTTGGGAGCATATCCCCTTCTATTAATTGAAAGATGCAGTGTCTGCAAAGAAAACATGCCTCATATTTGAGAAAGGTTGAGCTGTTTGTACAGCAGCTTTCCAAAGCAGCTCTTAACTTGAAAAAATAGGTAAAAAGTTTACCTGGCTTGGTGAAACACTGACATGGAAGGTTTTATGAGCAGTAGAATGTGATTTAGAAGCGCTTGTGTGACTGCACTTGCACCTGTTGGTAAAACTTCACCTGTGTTTAGGGGCTCCATCGGACTGGGGAGTGTCCCTCTCTCCTGAGTCTGAAGAGCACTTCTCTATACTAAAACACTGCTTTGTTGATGGATTTTAATGATAAACACCTTGTTGTTAAGGAACTTCTTCCTCTGGTAAACATCTTCCTAAGTGCTCTTTAGAACAAGAAGTAGAACAATCAGGAAACTAAGAGGTTGTTCTTAAAGCTTCTTGTATCAATCAAACCCCATTTCCTTCATCTTTGGCTTATAATGTGCTTTTTAGAAGCTGCTTGTAAAGTAAAGACTTGAAATAGATGGTGAATATGTTTGACTGAATTTTGAACGTCCAGAGCTGTTGAACTCTTAGTATGCCTTTCCCAACAGCAAATCTTGAAATTGTAACTACCTTCAAAAGTCAATACATAATTTGGCTAAAAAACCTGGAAATGTTGTTTTGCCAGATTTCTGAGATTTTTCACATGATCCCCAAGTGTGTAGTCACATTTCTACGTGAAAAGTGGTTTCCTTTTTTGCATCATTCTTTTAGCCATTATGAGAAAAATAGACCTTCAAAATAATCTCCAAGGCCAATATTTAGTCTTCCAAGTATGGCATTTTTAATTTTTATTTTTAATACAAAAATAGACTGTAGGAAGGAACAGGCTTGAAATTTATGATAATGTTGATAGAAACTGAGCCGGTATTTTGAGTTAACTGCTCTAAAAGTAAACATCAAATATATTCAGAAGTGCTCCTCATTTTATGATGATTCTGTTAAAAATAAATAGGCAAGCAATTAAAAGATGAAGTATAATTTACACAGTAGAATTTGCACAGTTGTCTTCAATCTCCCTGCCTTAATGTTTCAGTAGCTTAAAAATATGTAATCCACACCAAAGGTAACAAGACATACGTTCCAGTTGTGCTGTGTTTGCCACCTCGAACGACCACTCAGTAAAAATGTTATTTTGTCCTTTTCAAAATAAATTCCCATCTTTGTGTCCAGGTAGATAACATATGTGCTTTTGTTGCCAGTTCCTGCATAGACTTATTCATTATACTGTTTTCTCCTTTTTAAGAAATGCTGGTGAAGAGTCTTACATTAAGAATGCAGTTATCTTGCTTCTGGAAGCAGTTTTGTAACCATATTTGGAAGGGGTCTTTCCCTCTCATTGAATTTTAAAAGTTCTGAATGCAAATGAATAAGGTTGAATTTTTCAAATAATTCTGGTGTGGGGGTTTGTTGTTTGGTTTCGTTTGGGTTTTTTTTTTCCCCAAAATTAAGTATTACATTTAAGAAATATTCCTTTTGCATTTTGAATAAAACATATAGTAATTTCTTTTGTTTTGTTTCTCCACCTGCACAGTGACCTTTTGCGTACTGATTTAGTTTTGAAAATAGGGCAAAATTTAGATCCTCTCAGATGCAATGAAACTTGTCAGATTTTGATCTCTGAAGTTGTTTTTTATAATGAAATTGTTTATGATTTGAAGAGCAGTGTCTGCCTTAGAGGGAGAGCATGGTTTCTCTCAGTCACAGCATCCGTTGGCCTGGAAAATCGTGAGCAGACTCCATACAGCAATCTCATCCGGACTGCATTCTGCTGTTTTGCAGCTTTCTTTGGGAAAGAGCACAGTGAAATTCTCCTCTTAGCCAAGATGGATGGTGTAATGGCTTTTGATCATGACTGCCTATGGTGGTGGAGGTCCACATGCACACTGAAGTAGAGAAGTCTTCCAAGGCAATATATTTCAAGAGGAGAAGGGCTGTTACTCCTTAACCTGTTCCCTAGAGTGCAGATATGCAAGCTGTGAGGGCCAAAATAACCCCAATGCCAAAAACCAACAAAACATTTTCATGCTCCTAAGACTCGATTCAGTGAAGATATACCAGGAGTTTCCTACTGATAATGTTTGCTCACAGGATTGGCTGTCATAACTGGTAGTGTTCTGTGGTACGGTAATTAGAAAGAAGGAGACATTTAAAGTTTTGAAGCTTTCTGTCCTGCACAAACACATGAGGGCAAAGCTGTTTCTTGTAAGGTCTTCCTAGGACCACAGTTCAATGTAACAAAACTTGGTAACACAGATTTCACCTTCACTTCTTTAATGAGGAGAATTGCTTGCATGTGTGCACATTATGTTTCTTAGATTTGATGAAAAACTTTGAGGACTATCAATGTGTTTCCAGGCTTAACATTCTGTCACACATGCAATTTAGATGCCAAAAAATTTTCTTTGATTAGCAAACAATATATGCCAAATGAATTACATTTGCTGTGCTCATTGAATTAACTTCACAGTGAGGCAGCTGCCATCAGTATATCTGAAAGGTGGTTGTGAGACACCCTTTTGATTAGTGTAGAGCTGTTCCTTATAATCTAGTTTGCTTTCTGATTTGCAGTGAAATTACTAATTTTATCTATGACACTTGAGACAAGCGTGATACTCTCTTTGTTGTCTCTGTCGTTTATTAATGTAGCAGAAGAATAGATCTCCTTCAGAGGATGCAGAAATCCTGTGGTACTTGTAAAGCTTTCAAAAAATAAAAAGTAAACACATACCCCACCAATTGTCACTTGATTTCCAAATTAATCTCTAAGGATAATGTTCCCTGTGGCTCACATATGACTAAATCCTTGCCTACCATGCTAAAGCTTCCTCCTTAGCAACCAAACCAAATTTAATAAAAAATGTCCTGCACATGAGAATAAACCTTTTGAAATGGAGGCAAAGCATCCAATTCACGCTATTAACAGAAGGGGTGGTAAGTAGGCCACAGAAACTGTCAGGAGAAAATCCATCTCTGAGTACAGTCATGAACTAAGCGGAGTCAGATTTAGCTAGAGTATGGATATTAGATGATTAGGTGGATATTGTATGGAAAATTATTCCTGAAGTTGCAAGAAGTAGGATTTTTTGAGTCAGTTACTGATGGTACCACACCTCCATCAGCTGAATTTTTGAGTTTCTGTGTGACAGGAAGAGAGGTAATTGATCATATTTTAATCCACACTCCATATTGGCTGATGCCATTCTTAAACTATTTTATATGAAAAAGAAAAACAACAGAAATGGCAACTATGTTTTCCTAATTTTCTGCATCCTACCTGACTGTAACCTTGATGACTGTCTCCGTTATAGGCTGCAGGAGAGCAGCAGGCTCCAGTGAGCTGGTTCCAATTTTAGAACTCAAGAAGCTGATATGTCAGCTCTTTAGCTGCTGAGAGGTGAGGGGAGACTCAGTCCCTCACTAATGTGTACGGTACAAGCACGCCTGAACACACATTTGCCTTGGGACAGAGCTGTCTTTTCCTTTTTTTCTTTTTTTCTTTTTTTTTTAGTTATTATTTCCTGACCACAGGAGGCACAAAATGGAATTCTGGTATATTAGCAGGCTATTCAAAAGAACTCTGGGCAATCCAGACAAATCCTTAGTATTTCTGTTCTTCCTCAAACTATCCTTAATTACTTTTCCAGTCTTTCTACAAAACAGGCAGTCACTGTGTTTCCACACAGAACAGCACAGGGAGATTTCATTGGAAGAATCTATCTACCAAGTCAACAGGCCTGCACAATGAAACCCCCAATGGGCTGTGTATGTGTAGTGGCATTTCATCATCAGACCATCTGTCTGCATAAGAATTTTAGTATAGCATTCCCACAGGAAGGGCTCTGTGGTTGTGTCTGATGGCTCTGGTTTGAACTTGGAACAGTACTAAATTGTCACAAAACACAGGAGCACAGGTTTTTAATAGCTTTGCTAAAGTATTTATCTACATACCCAGTAGTAGCCTGTGGGATTTGGTGGAGGAAGAAGATTGGCATGGT